AGCAGGAGCATCCCTATGGAAGCTGCCTGGGTGATTTCTGACCAGCCACAGACTTTCTGCCTAACCTACCTTACAGCGTTGCTGTACAGATTGCAAAGCCAAAGAGAATGAGGTAAGCTGCTTTGGTCCCCGCTAATGAGAAATACAGAATTTTGCCTAGAAAGAGGCTGCTGAGAGGGGAGGAGATAAAGTTGCCAGCTTTAGGTATGGAAATTCCTGGAGATTTGAGGGGTGGAGCCTGGGTAATAATTGCTGCCACTCTCCAGGTGAGGGCTAGAGATCACTCAAAATTACAACTGCTCTTCAGGTAGCACAGATCAGTCCCTCTGGAGAAAACAGTGGACTCTGTCATTATACCCTGCTGAGGTCGCCACAGCAAATTGACACTGTTTGCCCAAAGCCAGAGCACTCTCCCAGAGCCTCTTTCTAGATCTCGTTGTATTTATTTCCACAACGGGCCTTATTTATAGTATGCATATAATTATATAAAAATAATATTTAATGCCGAGTTCACTATCAGTATAATTGGATGAAACCTAAGTATTTTTACAAGGAACAACACTAATGCAGAAAAATAAAGCCACAATAGTACAGAGAAGTAAAGTCCCAAAAATTTCAATGTGTCTCATTCCTGTTGTATTATAATTTCATAGTCCAACTTGACATTTATTTATTTATATATTTATTGTTTCAACTTTTACCCCACCCTCCTCGTTGAAGCAGGCTCAGGGCAGCTTACATAAAAACCAATAAAACAAGATACATATCACAATAAAAATACATAAAACATAACATTCATCATGGAGTGGACTCTTATAGTTCCAGGAGGATTCAAATAATCTTGAAATTCCATAAGCCATAAACGGGCATAGTCCAGATGCAAGCTGCCGCATTTTGAATAATTATTTTTCAAAGCCAAAAGGCTATAGTGGGACCCGATCTCAGTAGTAACACTTACAGACATCATTTTAATCAGTCACAAAGGATCCAGTCTGGAGGCTGTCATTCCAGTCCCAGAATATTTCTCCTAGTTCCAGGAGCTGTCATTCCACTCAGGGGGCTGTTGTTTCAGCTCCAGAACACTTCTGCTACTCCCAGGGGCCATCATTCCACTCTGTGACCTGTCATTCCAGTGCCAGTAGTCTTCTCCTACTATCAGGGGCCCCCATTCTATTCTGGGGGCTATCATTTTCACCCCTGAACACTTCTGCTACTCTCAGGGGCCATCATTCCTCTCTCAGGGCTGTCATTCCACTCCCAGAACACTTCTTCCACTCCCAGGGGCTGTCATTCCACTCTGGGGCCTGTTACTCCAGTCCTACAGCAGTTTATCTGGGCCCAGAGACATGCCACTCCACATTTTCATTGCAAGTATTTTGTGCTGTAATGTATTTCCATAGAGCCCATGCAAGTCTGGGGAAGAGGAGGTTGACAGAGGACATGATTGCTCTCTTGAAGTATTTGAAGGACTGTCACTTAGAGGAGGGCAGGGAGCTGTTCTTGTTGGCAGCAGAGGATAGGACTCGCAATCATGGGTTTTAAATTAAGGGCAGGATGGTACTGGCTGGATATTAGGAAAAACTATTTTACAGTTGGAGTTGTTCAACAATGGAATATCAGCTGCCTAGGGAGGTGTGAGCTCCCCCCAATGACAGTCCTTAAGCAGCAGCTGGACAAGCACTTGTCAGGGATGCTCTAGGCTGATCCTGCATTTAGCAGGGGGTTAGACTAGATGGCCTATATGCCCCTTCTAACTCTGTGATTCTATTATTCTAAGTCATTTGGCATTCCTTCTAGTGCACTCAAAAAGTGCTCAGCAGAATCCAGTGCCATTGCAGCAATGCCAGCTCAACAGAACTGATGTGAAGCACAGAATCCCAAGCAAGCTTCCCAAGCAAGCAGGGTGCAAGCCTAGCAGAACCACTAGAATGTACGAGTGCCCAGCAGAACCCAATGCTACTGTGGCAATGCCAGCTCAACAGCACTGATGTGAACAAAGAATCACATTCCAAGTGGGGGGAGGCATTGCAAGCCCAGCAGAAGCTTGTTCCACTGTGGCAATGGAAGCAAAAAGAGGACTAATGTCAAACCAGACAATCCCTGCAGGTACAATGTGCAGAATGCTCAGCAGAACTCTTTGCCACTGGCATTGCAGGCTTAAAAGGACTGCTCTCAAAGCACAGAGTTACAACAAATACAAGCAAGGGGGGATTTTGCAAGCTCTGTGCAAAAAAATGAGAAGGGAACACAGGAAGGCAGGCAAAGGGGGGGAGATTCTCTCTTGAAACTGACAATTACTAGTTTGAAACTGACCAGAGTGTTTCCAAGGCTAGAGAATTCTGCACCCCCCTTTGAAGTTTGGTAAACATTTTGATTGAGGAGAGACTGTCTGGAAAAGTATCCATTCATGAACTGCCACAAAACTCCATGAACAGCTTGAAAGTTCATGAAAATTTCATGCTGATTTTTAAAAATATTAAACTGTTTATTGAATATTACAATAAAATGCAATGCAGTTCTTAGTAAAGTATGAATGAAAAACAATTACAAAATGATAATTAAGTTTATGGTGAATCAAGGATTTCCATTACAAGTTATCTGCCAGTTCTGAGTTTATCATTCAAATAATTAAAAATAAAAATAAGTGGAGTTCAAGACAGTTTTAAAGATCCTTCAGCTACTTAATTGTAAAGATATAAGGTGTGTGAATCAATTAAGGGTACTTTCTGTAAAGTTCCTTCTGGGTCAGGAAAAGCCTTCTGGGTCAGGAAAAGCCATGATGACCATTTGGTCATAATACTAGTAGAGGTAACCTATCTATCTTGCTGTGCAATCCAGTCTGAGGTCCCACTGATGCATCAAGGGGAGAGTATGTTATACCTCACGTTCCTTACCTATTCAACAACAGGCAATTAAAAATTTGTTTCATTGGCATCTCACCTTATCAAAACTCATATATTAATCCACACATTTTATCATCATGCTGGAAACAATGTGGGGCAAAAGGCTCTTTTTACCATTGTTGGTGGTCGTGTAGTAAGATTAATTGATTTTAAAGTGAAATCATATCACAAATTAATTTACCCAACCTTAATTCTTTTGAACTTAAGGCCAAGAATCAGGATTCCTCAAAATACTAAAGACCTCATTTCCACCCTTTTAGCAGCAGCAAAACATGTGCTTGCTTCAAATCGGAAATTTCATGCTGGTTGAGCTGCCATGAACTTCATTTTGCAAACCACGAACCAGCCAAAGTTCATCATGAACTTTAGTTTGTGATCCAGTTCGTGCCTATCCTTATTGCTGGTTTTGCATGATAGTAGATGCTTCATAAGCAGATCCATTACAACTAGCAGAGATCAGCAGGTATACAGCAGACACAAGAACGATCTGGTTTGCAAGAGTTTCACATGCTGGCACAGTGTGGTAGTCTCCCACAAAAGCATTATGATCACTGGAGAAACCTAGCATTGGACTCCTGCATCAGAAAGTAATTTTTTTTTTTACCAAATATAATGGTGTGACCTTTGTATAATGAAACAAATATTTCCTCAGGTTATTTACTTTATATACAAAACAACCAAAGACAAATTATTTAGCAATGAAATTCTGAAATAATTTTCTAGGTATTAGCAAAATGAATTATGCAGTTGCCAGTCCCAGTCAAAAGTTAGGGTTGGGCCACCTCTTCACACTGCTTCAGGGATCTGAATTTCCTTCTCATGGGAATTTTGCAAGAAGAGACAAATGGCTGTGTCATCTCAGTCATTCAAAGGAGCATGGTGGTGGCAGCAGATCTGAGAAAGGAGAGAACCATTGTGTTGACCAGGGAGGCAGACAATTTGTAGGAGATGATACCAACAATGAGAACACTAACTGGATTAGTCTTGGGAAATCTTGTAATCATAATGAATAGGTTCACTGTCCATACCCAGAGCCAAACATCCAAGTCATATTACTCTCACTACACTCCTACACAGTTGTGCACTGCAAAGACCATTGAAGTCAATGAGCTTAGAAGGGTGTAATGCAGGATCTAAAAGATCTTGCAGGTTAATTGCTGCCTAAATGCCTTCACACGTTCTTGACATTGTATCTTATGCCAGGTTCCAATCAGTATAGCTTCCCTCCTTTCTATAGGAAGTGGGTCTGTTCAAGAACTCCTTGAACCTTTTCAGCCATTGTGTGTTTCACAATAACTTATTTTATGTCTGGCTTTACTTACCACCAAGACATGGGGTCTCAATCACCAATGGCAATGTCCAGCAGCAGCAGCAGCAGCAAAAAAAAAAAAAGTTAATAGATTTAACTGTGGCTCTTATTGATTTTTTTAATGGTAGATTATTCAAGCGGTAACATCTTTTTTCCCCCATGTTTCCTAGAATGGATCCTCCCGAAATGATCACAACAAATGGAGCAATAGTGGTAACCTTCATTTTTAAATTTATTTTTCTCCTATGGTACAATTAGACATATATATGACACTACTGGTCCCAGGAGAATCTTTAAGCTGCCTTGTATCATGACTGTATAAGAGGCTGAGAGAGAAGAGAAGGACAACAGTTTGGAATTACCATGATAAGAACATAAGAATATAAGGAGAGCTCTACTCAATCAGACCAATAGAACCATCTAGTTCAGCATCCTGTCTCACACAGTAGCCAACCAGTTCCTCTGGATGGCCAATAACAGTGCATACAGGCCAAGGCCTTCCCCTGATGGTGCCTCCTGGTTCTGGGATTCACAGGTTTAGTGCCTGAATGTGGAAGTTCCCCTCAGTCACCATGGCTAGCAGCCACTGGTAAACTTATCCTCCATGAATCTATCAAATTTTAAAGCTGTTTATTCCTGTGGCCATCACTACATCCTCTGGCATCAAATTCCACATTTTAATCACTCTCTGTGAAAAGTAGTGTTTCCTTTTATCTGTCCTGAATCTACTGCCCATCAGCTTCATTGGATGCACTCGAGTTCCAGTATTTTAGGAGAGAGAGAGAGATTTCTATCTGTCGACTCTCTCCACCCCATGCATAATTTTATAAATCTCTATCATGTCTCCTCTTAGTCATCTCTTTTCTAAACTGAAAAGTCCCAGACTTTTCAGACTTTCCTCTTAGGAAACATGCCCCAACCCCCTAATCATCCTGGTTGCCCTCCTCTGTAATTTTTCCAGCTCTGCAGTATACTTTTGGAGATACCGTGACCAGATCTGTACAGAGTATTCCAAATGAGGCCATACCATATATCTATACAGGTACATTCTCAATCCCTTTTCTAATAATCCCTAGGGGTTGACACTTTCATTGAGCTATCCATTACAACCCAAAGATCTTTTCCCCTCTCAGTCTCAGCAAGTTCAGATCTCATTCACCTATACTTGAAGGTGGGATTTGTTTTTGCCCCAGTGTGCATCACCTTTCACTTCCCAGCACTTAACACCATTTGCCACATTGTCGCACACTCACCCAGTTTGTGGAGGTCTTCTTGGAGCTCTTAACAGTCATCCTTGGTTTTCACCATCCTAAATAATTTTGTGTCATCTGCAAACTTGACCACTACACTACTCACCCCTAGTTCCAGATCGCTGTTGAATAAATTAAATAGCATTGGCCTCAATACCAATCCTTGCAGGACTCCACTGCTTACTTCCCTCCATTAGGAGCACTGTCCATTGATTCCAACTCTTTGTTTCCTGTCATTTAGACAGTTTTTAATCCATAAGAGAACCTGTCCTCTTATCCCATGACTGCTAAATTTACTTAGACGTAGTGGTGTGCACGCACAAAAAAATTGAATTTTTCGGGTTTGGATCTACCAAACCTGAAAAAATTTGGTATTTGCTGATATTCCCGAATCCCAATATAGGTATGATACTGGGGTTTGGGAATTATTGAACTAGCTGAATAATTCAGCTCAATTATACCTTATGGGAACTGTCCCCATAGGGTATAATAATCCCCCCTTTGAAAGGGGGGTTTCCCATCACTGAAGGGAAGACAAATTGCCTTCCCTTCAATGAAGTTTAAATCCCCCTGAAGTCGCACAGCAGAGGCGGCACACTCCATTCATTGAAGTGAAAAAATTTTGCCTTCCCTTCAGTGATGGGAGCTGGCTGCCCCCCAAGCTAGCCCCCCCTGCCTTCCCTGGCCCACCTGCTGAGGCAGGCAAGTTGGGGAAGGCCCTAGAAGGAGCAGGGAGGTATTTAAATGCCTCTCTGTGCCTTCCCCGGCCCACCTGCCAAGGCAGGCGAGCCAGGGAAGGCCTTGGAAGGAGCGGGGAGGCATTTAAATGCCTCCCTGCTCCTTCTAGGGCCTTCTCCAACATGCCTGCCTTGGTGGGCCAGCCGGGGAAGGCTGGGGGGCTGCCTCCAGGCCTTCCCTGGCTTGCACACTTTGGTGGATCGGCCAGGGAAGGCGGGGGCTAGCTCAGGGGGCAGTGCTGCCTCTGTATGCATGCCTCTGTGGTGCGTGCTGCTTCTGCAGCATGACTCCAGGGGCATTTAAACTTTAAAGCTCTCTGGAGTCACACCGCAGAGGCGGCACACTCCCTTCACTGAAGGGAAGGCAATTTGTCTTCCCTTCAGTGATTGGAGCCAGCTGCACCCTGAGCTAGCCCCCCTGCCTTCCCTGGCCTGCCCGCCAAAGTGTGCAAACTGAGGAAGGCCTGGAGCCAGCCTCCCCAGCCTTCCCTGGCCTGCCGGCCTTCGCGGTACAACTCCCCAGCAAGGGAAGGTATTTAAAGTTTAAATTCCTTCCCTTGGCTGGGGAATCACTCCACTGAGGTGGCACCAGCCCCAGAAGCAAGGGAAAGTGTTTTAAGTTTAAATACTTTCCCTTCCTTGCTCAGCAAAGGGATTCGGGGAATCCCTGTTCAGCCAGCCGAATCAGATTAGAGAATCTGATTTGGCTTTCGGCAGGCCCAAATAATGCCGAATAGGCGTGATTCGTTTTGTTTTTCAGTTTGTCCGAATGGTATGCACATCCGTACTCAGGAGTCTCTGGTGAGGTACCTTGTCAAAAGCCTTTTGAAAGGCCAAGTACAGAATGTCTACTGGGTCACCATTGTCTACATGCTTGTTCACTTTCTCAAAGAGCTCCAAAGTGTTGGTGAGGCAGGACTTCCCTTTGCAAAAGCCATGCTGATTTTCCCACAGCAGTCTTTTCCCCCCATGTGCTTAACAATTCTATTTTTTATGAGTCATTTGATTAATGATTTGCCCATTCAGGTAGTGTGAAGGGAGAAATTGTTAGGATGGCTGCCCTGAAAGCATCACACAGATCTGTAGACCCTGGGGCTGCATCACCCCTTCTCTCCTGATTCCCACTCATGCATGCTACACCAGAAGAATCTGATCTGGGGAAAACTGGGACTAATAATAAATATTTACCTCACAAAATAGATAATAGCAATCATGAAAGTATTTAGTTAGGTAAGGACTGTCCATGGGCACCATGGGGCCTGCAGAGGCTTTTCCTGGTGCCTGCCAAGTGTTTTTGGAAAGCGGGCAGGGCTAGGAGGAGGTGTTGCCCAACAGGGCTGCTAATTGGCCATTGGAGGTTTGATTAACAATACAAGTTTTTAAAAACATCGCTTTTGCAGCAGCTGCCACCACAACACAAGGATATTCAATGTGAAATAAGGTAAGATAAGGCACCCATTTTGTGGCATCCCTTTTGTGCCTGTGCCCACCATCCTGTGTCAGAATTGCAAAAGAGTCTGCAGGCACAAAAAGGTTGGGGACCTCTGATTTAGTTAGTGTGTTGCCCATTTTGGCAAATGGTTCTTTTAAGGATTTCAAGAAATAATGACTAAAGTTGTGGTGGAAGGAGAAGTAGCTTTATTTTATACAAATTACAAATATAAAACAGAGAATAGCAGAAGGATACCCACATCCCTTTCAGCCCTGAAAATATCAGCAGCCGGTTGACTCAGGTACATCTTCTGAAGGTTGCTCAGCACCAGCCTGATCTGAGCTGAGGTTTTCTTCCCCCCAGTTTTTCCTTCTTCTTCCAAAGAAAAATAACCCCTCCTAAATTATAGTGTGTATGTGATACAATTCAATCCAGTTGGGACTCATCCTAAGGGTGAGAGAACATCTCCCCCATTCCAACACCAGGTGCAATTACTTAAAACAAAAAACCCATCACCATTAACACCTTCCAGCCTGGTGCTGTCATCTAAACACAGAAAGAGACACTTGTGGTCACCACTGTCTCCTAAGATTAACAATGGTCTTCTGCAATACCTCTACAATTAGTTACTTATAGTCTGCCTTTCTCAAAGTGGATTACAGAATTATAAAAGTGCAATAAAGGATGGTACAATACATAGAGTTAACAATAAAATAAAACTGAATTACAAAATTAGAGAATATGCTGGTTGTTTGCACATTCTTCTCAGAATAAATGGTGAGATTTAAAACTAAAACCAGTGCTTTTTGGACTATTTTGTGATTTATTTTCTCTTACAGTGTCGTGAACTTTGCTGCTTGGAGATTCAGGTGGACCAAAGGAAAAGGAAGAAGAAGAAAAAGCTTTCTAAACGTGAGATTACTACTTCATTAAACGCTTCTTCCAAATCTGGATTATAGGTTCTTTAACAATGCACTCAAGAGCAAATCCAGGCTGGATTATTCACAAATACCAGAATCCATACTTGGACATTTGTTTATGTAATTTATCAGTTAGATAATATTTTTTTACTCTGAAATTTAAAGTCCAATCAATTGGCCAGAGTAAAAGACTTGGATCAAGTTTATGCATTAGTATTTGAGTTATGGTGTTGTTTTTTGTTTGGATTTTTTTGCACATTTATTTTTATGCTGCTGATTATTAAGGGGTTATTTGGTATTCAGTGATGCTTAACCCTTTGAGCTTAATTACCTTGCATATTGTGAGAACATTATGGTTACATCGTACCCAGTTAATAAATGGGCCAGACTACAACTATTCTTTATAACTGTAATTTCCTTCCTCCCCAAGTTTATTTATCAGTTTTAAACATAAAAATATCATTCCAATTATTTACAACTTTTACATATTTGTGTCTACCTTTTTCATATTCATCCATTTATACACACTGGCCCATCTTTCCCAAAAAAAACCAGTATCATCTTTTCCTTGTAGTCAAGCTTAGTTTCTCCATTTCTGCTACCTCTAATATTTTGTTAGCTACCTCATTTTTAGTGGGCAGTACATTTTGTTTCCAGTATTTGGCTAACATTATCCTGGCAGAGGTTAGAATATGAATTATCAGATATTTGTCATTTAATTTATAACCTTCCGGTAAAATATTTAATAGCGCTATTTCAGGTGTCAATTCTATATTTCTATTCATTCTTTCGACTATTATCTTCTGCACCATTTTCCAGTATTCTTGTATCCTACTACACCGCCACCACATATGAAAGAATGTTCCAACATTTGTTTTACATTTCCAACAATCCTTATTTACCGATGGGGTGCATTTCGCTATCCTATCTGGCAACCAATACTAACGATGCGTAACTTTATATATATATTCTTTATAGCTTATCGCTCTCATATGATTAACCACTTTCCATGTTTCCTCCCATTTATCCATATCTATGATGTAATTTCCTAAAGATACATCAAGACAGTAGTTCGTTAGTATAGTTATTAATTATTATATACTTTTCCTCCAAAGAGCCCCAGTAGGAGTACATGCCCTCTCATGTTCATCCTCATAACCACTCTGTAAAATTCACTGATCCAAAGTCATCCAGGAAGCTTGAAGTCTGGTGTGGATAGTCCCTGATCCATGTCCACCACTAATAATTAATAATAGGGTTGCCAACCCCCAGGGGTTGCCTGAAGATCTCTGGGAATTACAACTGATAGATGACAGATATCAGTTCCCCTGAAGAATACAGCTGCTTTGGAGGGTGGACTCTATAACATTATGCCTCTCCCTTCCCCAAATGCTACCCTCCCTAAATCTCCAGGAATTTCCCAACCTGGAGTTGGTAACACTGTTAATACCACAGAAGCTTTCATCACTATTTTTGTTTATCTACAAAATTTGGACCCTGCCTTTCTGCCCAATCAGGGCCACTTTCATCAGGCCTGTTGACTTATGGTGCTCGCCAATTTACCCTACCTATCATGAGCAACCTTCTCTCATCCTGCCAAACTAGTTATGGCCTAAGTAGTCCATAGACCAGCCCTAATTATCCCTTTCCTTCCCAAGGAAATGAAATATGTGGGGGGAAAGTCCCTTAACAAGCTATTGATAGAGGACCCCACTCCAAATCCTGTTTGGAAATTGAAACAGAGTTGCGCAATCACACGTCCCTTGGTGCTGCAGGCTTAACTCCTCACTGCCCGATCAGACAGCACATTCGGTGAGTGGTGGGTTTTTTTGCCTTTCCCCTCACATGCACATAAACAAGGAATCGAACCACCGTGGCGGTCTGTGACTATGGATTGCTTATGCAGTTAAGTGCACACTGCTAAGCTAGCAAAAAATGGCACCAAGTTGGAATGGAGTGGGCAGCCCATCCCAACAGCTTGTGTGTGCTTGCGTGATCAGACAGTGGAAAGTCGATCTGTGGCCCATCAGAACCAGCTAGAACTGGACTTTCCCCAGTGTCTTTTAAGTCTGCTTCTATGGCAGAGCAGCACAGGTTGCCAGCAACTGCAGGACCTTTCCCAGATGTTGCTGTCTGATTGTGCCCTTTAGTTCCATCAGGCATTTGCAGCTGAGTTGCATCTAAAAGCATGTCTGACCACATCCTGGGACACTCAAGAGTCAAATCCCTACTCAGCTATGAGATTCAAATGTACACATCATGGAGTACAAAAGTTTGGCCTGGGTCCACACCCTGTGTCTGGCAACCATGTGTGAACTGTGGATTCTCCTGAGTTTCTACATGAGTGCTCTCCAATTGGGATCAGAACTGTGGTGGACATCAATAAGCCTTCCTCCCTGCACCATTTTCCCAATCTGAAACAGTCCTGAGGTGCTTTCGGGAAAATTCATGTATTCCCTGGGATACGTACTGGGTTCCCCCAACAGGTCCAGGTGCTAATTCTGTCTCAGCCTAACAAGGTCTGACAAAGTTATTATAAGAATAAAAGGGGATGAGGGGAGAAACATATATGTCACTCTAGCCTCCTTTGAAAATGTTTGTGCTAAAAATGTAATCATAATTAGCGGGGGGAAAATTCATTTCCTTATTTAGGACTGGAACTGGTTTATTCATAAATCTCTAGACCATTTTCTCCATCAAGACTCAAAGCAATGAATTTGAAAAACAACGTATGTCTGAATCTACATATACTGGTTCCAATCGAAGGAATGCTGATTTTATTTATAACAGGTTTGGGAGAGATTTGGTGTTGCTAATATAATCTTCTTCTTTTTTGGTACTTGCTCTCTTTCTTTAGAACAAGTTGTCAAGTGTACATTGAAAGGATCCTTTGAAGAAACCCAAAACCTTTCCTTGTGCTGTAAATCCTGCTCTCACTGCACAGATCCCACCATCTTCCACTATGCCAAATTCAAGCAAGCAGAGCTGGAGGTTCTGCTCCCCAAGAAGAGGCCACTTCCTTGCTTTGTATGTTATAAATGAGCATGGCAGCATTGTGGATGAATTACAATTATCATGTCTCTAATTACTAGAGTCATTTTAAAAAGATTTCTTTTTTAATTTTAAAAAATCTTGCTTATTTCAGGGTGCTTGCATGTCATGTGGATCAAATGTGCAGAGGAACAGAAATCTGACCTTTCCTTTAAATTCATTTCCCTTTGATCAGGATGTAATAAATGATGTAAGTAATGTCAAACTTTCAGGCAAGGGGGAAAGCCAAGCATCATAAACTGTCTCCTATATACACTGTACTTATTTTGGACACTGTTAGCCCACCTTTCTCCAGTCACTGACTCACGGCAAGTTAAGATATTATCCTGTAATACAGCATCTGTTGCCTTACATTTAGCAACTGTAGCAGAAATGTATGGTACATTTTTTTTCCTGCACTGTTCCTAATCACTGCAGATAGATGCATATCTGAATTTATTCATTTAAGTTATTTAAATATTTAATTGCAGTCTTTCCTCCAAAATAGGGTCCCCCATATAAAAATTCAGTGTGGGAAATGAATGAGTTGACAAGAAATATCAATGTTCCAAAAGAATAATTGCATATAGTCTGAAACACATAGAATATGACCCAATTCTAGCTTTTCTAAATGACACCCCAGGCTGTGTTATTATATATTATTTATTTGGTGTTCTTTTTAATTTAGGAATTTTATATGCCTCCTCTCCAGAGACCTTCTTGAGGCAGCTCAAAAGTAAAAACAATGCCATAAATGTGTATGTTATGTGCCATCAAGTTGCTTCTGACTTATGGCAACCCTATGAATTAATGTTCCCCAAAATGTCCTATCATTAGCAGCCATTCTTGGGTCTTGTAAACTGAGGGTCATGGCTTCCTTGACTGAATCAATCCATCTCATGTTGGGTTTTCCTCTTTTCCTTTGCCTTCAACTTTCCCTAGCATTATTGTTTTTTTCAGTGACACTTGTCTCCTCATAATGTGACCAAAAATACCAAAAGTACCATAAATCCAGCACTACAAATTATCAAAATTTAAAACTATCAATTTTCATAAAGCAGCATAAAATAATCATTGAGCAGCCTAAACGATATCCATAAAACAGTCCTCAGGCTCGTAGAAAACCGTGCAACAACTTAAAAAGATAAAATCCATTTGTAAAAAGAAATGCTTTGGCCTGTCACCTAGGCAACAGTAAGGCAGGCACCAGGTGAGCTTTAAGGGGAGTGAATTCCAAATATCCTGTTTCTACCCACCTATCTTTGTAGGTGTATGCACCAACAGCTGGGGTTGTAAGGAAGATCTTAACTGGCAGGCTCTTTGGGTCAGCCCATGAACCAGTAAGATTACTAGGATGCCAGACTACAAACTTGGAACAAGAATTATGTTGGTTGTTCTGAATGCCAGAGACTGGAGACTGTCAATATTCAGTCTACACTTTCTGATTTATTGGCTGACTTCAGTCATCGCATGACACCATGGTTTAATTTGTTATAGTAACTTACTGATTGTCTGAATGCAGACACTGCATTCCACTTTGGTTAGTTGGGATTCTTTACACAAAGATCTGAAGCCAGGATCTGAAGTTCATTTATTAACTACAGTTAGTCTTAAGTATGCTTTTACATGGTGTCTGAATGCAAACACCCTGCTTTAATCATGTTCTCTGGCAATGCCCTCCTGAGCAACAGAGAAGAGAGCAAATATTTTTTGTTGAGGAAAACCAGAATTTGAGCAGTTGCCTGTGAAATGAAATCTAGTTTCACAAACTAATCATAGTTAAAACAAGCTCTGCTTTCATTTATGGCCCAGAGTGCAAGAAGACAAGTCCCTGCCGGAGTAAGTTTACAATCTAAAATTGACATAAGCACACCAAAAAGGGGAGGCAGGAAAGCAAAGGGGAGGAAAAGGGAAGAATACATATTCATTCCAGTTACACCTTAAGGTTTAGCTTGAGTGGAGCTGGTCAGGCGTGTTTGTCTGAAGCAGTACAACAAATTTAGAGTCCAATGGCACCTTTAAGACAAACAAATTTTTATTCAAGGTATGAGCTTTTGTGTGCACGCACACTTTATTAAATATGTTAGAATGGCGGGCAAGGTCAAACTTATAGCCAGAGAATGAACAGCAAATTAACATGCAGCATGATGATGATCAAGATATGCAAAGTGACACTAAATAACAAATTATGGTTATAAGGTAAACAGTTGTAAAACAATAAATATGTCAAACTATTTCAGTATTTCTTTTTCAGAATAGTATAATAGAATACTGAGAGGCATGGCATCATGAAGGTGTTCTAGGAGGCAGTTTCAGGCAAGAAGGAACCAGTTGAGGGAGCAAGAGCAGCTACAGTCATAGTGAAAAACAGAAAATCTATCAGAGAACTGGGGGTATGACTCGTGGAAGAAGATTAGGAAGGCTCTGATAACATGTCAGAATTTGTGATGTGTACTTTTTGATTTTCAGGACACGGAATTTGATTTACACTTCAAAGCAAAGCAATGGTAAGACAGAATGTTTTAGTCCTGTTCACATGTTATAGTAAATGGACATGCATATATGTGCATACATCTGTTTGTAAAGAGCCAACATGTGTTCACTTTACAAATGAAACTAGAGACCAGTGCCTGGATAAATGCGAGGTTTAAATCACATGTTCCATTTTACATGCATGGAACATAACATAATTATTACTTGATACACATATAAAGAAAAATCAAGTGTACTCTATACACATTTTTTATGTCTAAGGCCGACAGCAGGCCTGGACTTCACCCTCTTTCCTGCACCTGCAGCTGGGCCCTCCCCAGAGCTGGGGAACCCAGACCTGCCACTGGGACTGCTGGCCTCTTACCTGGGGCTGGAAGGAGCACCACAACAGCAGCCAGTGATTGGGAGTCTAGCTGGAACTTGGGACTTCCCAAAGGTTGCAGGGAAGAACACTGCCAGATGCCTTGTCAAAGCCAATGATGGCAGCAAGCAGCGCCAGCTGGGGAGGCCTGTGGTGGCAAAGAACACCACCAAGGAGGCAGCCACCACTCTGTGGGAATACACCACTCTAAGTCCTCCCGGCCAGATGAACTGCATCCAGGGATACTAAAAGAACCCATGGATGTAATTTCTGAGCCTCTATTATTTTTGAGAATTCTTGGAGAATAGGTGAAGTGCTAGAAGACTGGAGGTGGGCAAATGCTGTCCCCATCTTCAAGAAGGGGAAAAGGGAGGATCCAGGTAACTACAGACCCATCAGCTTGACTTCTATACCTGGGAAATTTTAGAACAAATAATCAGTCCTTGAGCATATAGAAAGAATGGCTATGATTACTAAGAGCCAGCATGGGTTTCCCAAAAACAAGTCATGTCAAACTAGCCTTATCTCTTTTTTTGAGAAAGTTACTACCTTTTTGGATCAGGGGAATGCTGTAGATATAGTTTATCTTGATTTCAGTAAGGCTTTTGATGAGGTTCCACATAATATTCTTGTCAACAAATTGGTAAAATGTGGTTTGGATCCTATGACTGTTAGGTGCATCTGTAACTGGTTTACAGATCACACCCAAAGAGTGCTTATGAGTGGTTCCTCATCCTCTTGGAGATAAATTACAAGTGGAGTGCCTCTAGGATCTGTCCCGGGACCTGTTTTGTTCAACATCTTTATCAATGATTTGGATGAAGGAATAGAGGGAATGCTTATTAAATTTGCAGATGATACTAAATTGGGAGGGGTAGCAAATACAGTAGAAGACAGTGTCAGGATACAAGATGTTCTTGACAGGCTGGAAAACTGGGCTAAAACAAATAAAATGACTAAAATATATTTCAGTGGGGATAAATGTAAAGTTCTGCATTTAGGTAGGAAATATCAAATGCATAATTATAGGTTGGGGGAGATGTGTCTTGGCAGTAGTATGTGTGAAAAGGATCTAGGGGTCTTAGTAGAACATACACTGAACATGAGTCAGCAGTGTGATGCGACTGCTAAAAAGGCAAATGCGATTTTGGGCTGTATCAACAGAATTACAGTGTCCAGGTCAGGCAAAGTGATGGTACCACTTTACTCTGCTTTGGTTAGACCTCACCTAGAGTATTGTGTTCAGTTTTGGGTGCCACAATTTAAGAAAGATATAGACAAGAGAGGGGTCTGGAGACCAAGTCCTATGAGGAAAGGTTGAAGGAGCTGGGTATGTTTAGCCTGGAGAGGAAATGACTGAGAGGTGATATGATAACTATCTACAAGTACTTGAAGGGTTGTCATATAGAGGATGGTGCGAAGTTGTTTTCTTTTGCCCCAGAACGACAGACTAGAGGGGGGAATGAAATGCCCTCTTTACAAGAACCCACAGCAGTCACAACGCCCCACTAGCAGAAAGGCTGGGTGGCACAGAGAGCCCTGGCCCGGAAAACACACCCCAGCCCAGAGAGGTGAACAACAAAAGTAGG